CCCGCCAAACAACAATAATGGCTGCAACCAAAAAAAATAGCCAAGTGTTGTGGCGGATGCCTGTGGTCCCAGCTACTTGGGAGGCAGAGGCAGGAGACTCACTTAAGCCCAGGAGTTGGAGGTTGCTGTGAACTGTGATGCCACAGCCCTCTACCCAGGGGGTCAGCTTAAGGCTCTGTCTCAAAAAAAAGAGAAAAAAAGTTTATTATCCTGGGCATCTTTATTCTTCCTTTCTGCATTGCACAATTCACTTGAAACCCTGGCACTTCTATTAATTTGAATTTGTTTGTATGTTGCTTTGCAAAGTTGTTAGTGAGCACCTTTTTAAAATTTTCTAATATTTTTATTGCACTAGTGACCATCTTAAGGGCTCTCTCTCCACTGACTACCAGTCCAGTAGAGACTAGTCAAGTACAGATTACTCTCCATGGAAATGACTGGGTAACCATAGTTACCCTCTCCCTTTGCTAAATTGTAGTAGTAGTGTTTAAGAAAGCAGGTGATCAGCTTTCCCTGACCGCCTCATTCTGTCTCACCCTCCTCTGAGCTCAGTTCATTTCATACACTATTAGTTACCTAATGCCATGTTCAAGGTGCCGGGTCCATCTCTTACCTAAACTCCATGTTACTATTTATCAGGTATGCTCACTCAGGTCTCTCTGGGGAGATTCAGGTCCCAAGGAGAGGCAATAAGCCTCCCCATCCAGACACATGATTATGCAGCAACAGAAAATTGACTTCAATTTGAATGTGGAGCAGAAGTGCTTCCATACATCACTGGGGAAATGTGCTGCCTTTGCAGCTAAAGGGTGGTGGGAACAGGCCCTGGTTCTGCTTTCCCTTATAGCTGAAGAACGTTCCTAATGCACAGGGGAACTGTGGAGAAAGAAGATGGAGCAAACACAGGAGTTTATGTCACTAATGGAGGAAGCAGGGGGTCCAGGCTGAGCGTCTCTTGTCTGAATGCTTGGGGCCAGAAGTGTTTTAGATGTCAGGTATTTTTGGATTTTGAGATATTTGCATTAGACTTGCTGAGTCTCTGTAATCCAAAAATCTACAACACTCCTATGAGCATTTCCTTTGAGTGTCATCTTAGTGCTCAAAATGTTCCAGATTTTGGAGCATTTGGATTTCAGATTTTGAGATTAGGGATGTGTAACTTGTAGCTCTAAACCATTGCACCTCACGTTTTAAACAAAACAAATAAAGAACAGTGTTAGCCAGTTTTTCAGGAGAAATATTCACACATACACCCTTTGTGTGCTTATATTTATGTATGTGGGTATATGAGATTTACTATTAACTTATATGTCTTCTTTTATTAAAGAGTCCCAAATGCTTTATCAATTGTGTCTTATCACTTAAGAGTGGCACTTAGAGCATTTAAAGCTTGACATAATCTGAGCCATAAGTTTCAGAGTACCTTGCCCACAGTCTGAACTCCATGGGGGCAGGGGCTTTGCCTGTGCTGCTTTCTGTTGTGTTCCCAGGACTCAGGGCTTGGCACACAGTCCATCACATTAGTTGGGTGTGTGGCTTATAAAGTTAACCAGTGTTTTCTAAGCAACCTCTGAAAAGCTCCTGCCCAGGCAGGTGAGGTGCTCATCTCGTGCTGTCCCTCAGACCCAGGTCACAGTACACATGCCACACAATATTGACTGTTCACCTTTCTCTAGCACTAGTCTCTGGGTTTCTGAGGCAATGCCCCGGCCTGGTCTGGTGTGCAGTTCCAGTGCCTTGGGAATGCCTGGTGCTTATGAGTTGATTGCTTGTTGACATGAACTAATTAGAGCATATTCTCTCATGTGAATCTATTTCCTGAAATAATAAATCTAATTTAAGATGAACAACAGCAGGTGTAACCTGTCAGCTCCTTGTAATAGGGTTCATACATGGGATAGAATGTAAAATGATTCAATGTCATATTTTTACACCCCCCCCCCCACACACACAACAGGATGAAGATGGAAAACCACTCCTGCCCACAGAGCTCAAGGAGCAGCTTCCAGTAAGCAAGCGGTTTTTCTCTGAGTGTACCCTTTTCCTTTTGGCCCTGATTGTTAATTCAGGAAGGACATAGCTTTCCTCTTACTGAATTGATCAGCATGTCAATACTGGCATATTTTGAAGAGGAGACAAATGACAGTGGTGTTTGTTGGTCCCTTTCCCGGTTCTTACAGCCCTTGAGGGAAGACGTCCTTCTTGATACTTTGTCTGAGGACTTCTCCAGTCCCCTGAATACTTCATCTCTTGTAAGTCTGAAACTCTTGGTTTTATTTCTTTACTTTTAGAGTAAATTAACTGGAAAAATAAATGGAAACTTGTGACTTAGAATCTGAGGAAACTCACAAAATTAATAGCCCTATATCTGCTGTAGCCATTCCAAATGTATTGCGCCATAAAATAAAGTCCCAGCACAGTGGGTGTTCTCAGCAGTGTACCTGGTTGGACCAGTCAGTGTGTACTATGTCACATGTCCCTGTGAAGAGAAAATTTAAATTTGAATTTATCCAAAATTACTTCTCAGCTATTTTACCTGCTATTTCTACAATTTATCATTTCGCAAATTGCCTCCTAAGAAAACTTAGCTCCATGTGTAATAGTTAGTCCCTTAAAGGGAATTCTATTACTAGAAAGTTAGGACAGTGCGGGGTAATGTTAAGCAGGCTTCTCTACTGTAGGATTTTTAGGGATTTATATACGAATGTATATTGTAAGTCTGTTAGATTTCCCAAACGTATACAACTGCAGAACCTTTTTGTGTGGGATCTGAGTTCTGTATTTACAGGTGACCCAGTTTTTAAGCCACTGAATGTTTTGTTGTCAGTCAGTTGGAAAAGAAATTAACAGAGTCCTATATGGGCAATGTCACAGAAAATATATTTGTATCAGAATATAAATACCGGGCTGCCAAAAATGTATACACATTGTAAGAAATGTTATCTGTGTATTATATGTACATTATATTATGTGTACTTGGAGTGCTTCTTGTCATTGAAGAAGTCAATCATCACTTGTATTCATCTTTTGTTATCACTATATATTATTACAATTTTAATATAGTTTTTCCTTTCTTAAGATGTGTATATGTTTTTCTGGCATCTTCTGTATATTTATAGACAGAATGAGTGACAAATACAAGAAATAATGATTCTTTGGAGTTGCCAGAAGCTGTTATTCTTGCTGAAGTGATAAATCCCTCCCAGAAGGGCTTACTAACTAAAGGATGCGCCTCACCCCTATAAAAAGCACCACACTATTCATTCATTCACCCCATTCCATGACCTCCTTCCCATCCCCCATGTAAGCAGAGCTCATCACACAGGCTCTCCAGCCCAACCTAGATACTGGAAGTCCTGGGAGGAGTGTCAGGTGAGCAGTGCTCAGTGGTGTGGAGTCATGGCCATGGCAGGGACACAGGCTGTCAAGCAGAGTGTGGGCAGCAAGGTTTAATACCCCCCACCCTGTCATTTTTCTTTTTTATTAAATCATAGCTGTGTACATTAATGCATTTATGGGGTACAATGTGCTGGTTTTATATACAATACTTACATCAAACTGGTTAACATAGCCTTCACCATACTTTCTTAATTATTGTGTTAAGATATTAATATTCTGTATGTAGTAGATTTGACATGTACCCTTGTAAAATGCACCATTGGTGTGGTCCCATTAGTTAAGGGTTTCTTCCTCTTAGAAACGTAAAAGATTTAGAGAAAGTAACAATGAATTTAAATGCACCCCATGCACTTACTCAAAGGTATACAACAGTAGAATAACTAGATCAAGCAACATTTATTTTTACTCATCGGAAATTAACAATCTAGCAAAGAAAATTATATTAGTGTCAACAATATAATTGGTAAAGTAGGGAAAAAAATATGATAAGAAACATATAGTAAAAATAGAAAATTATTTGGGGAAATATTCCATGAACTTTGGAGAAAAAAATATCACATACTGCCTCAAATACTTAAGAGTATTTTTAAATACTTAAAGAGTAGGTACTGTAATACCATATCATATTCTTTAATCATAATAAAATAAAACAGAAATTACATTTTTAAAGGAAACATTTTAAATATCCCCCTAAAAATCCTGAAATCGGTTCACAATAGGCTATTCAGCTGGGCATGGTGGCTCATGCCTGTGATCTTACCACTCTGGAAGGAGGCAGCAGGTGGATCGCTTGAGTTCAGGAGTTCCAGACCAGCCTGAGCAACAGTGAGAACCTGTATTTACTAAAAATGAGAAAACTGAGACAAAAGGATCACTTGAGCCCAAGAGTTTGAGGTTGCTGTGAGCTATAATGCTACGGTGCTCTACATTAGAGGGTGAGTGAGGGAGACTCTGTCTCCAAAAAGAAAGAAAGAAAGAAAGAATAGGCTATTTTAAAAAATCAAGGGTAAGATGTTGTAAATGAAAATATTTGAGAAGCAGCCAAAACAGTATTCATAAGATAGATTTATTGTCATAAATACCTTCATCAATAATAGAGAAACTTAATAAACCAAAAGTTTATTGAATTTTAAATTTAAATTTCTAAAAGCTATAATGTAATAACTACCCAAAAGAAAGTAGCAATAAATGTTAATAGCAGGAGGTAAAAATATCAGCATTACAGTTAACTGGCTAACAGCTTATAGTTGGTTTTGTGAAATAACACTTTATAAAATGCTGGCAAATGTAAAAGAAAAACCTTTACAGATAAAATACAATTAAATTTCAAAATGAAAATATAATAATCAATAAAAAGATCAACCAAAGTGATGATAGTTCAGAGCCAGTAATCAGTTGGTTTTTATGAATGTCTAAAAATGTCTTTTATGTCTATGGCTGTCTTTATAAAACACTAGCAGAGAAAGAGAAAATCTTACTAAAAATAAAATTGAAGAAAACATTAGAAAATATAATGCAAGAAGAGCACAATTAAATTATTCTCTGTGTACACAAATTTTCTAAGACATTTTTAAATAAAAATATAAAACAGTACAGTTGGCAGAACCTAAAGAAAAGAAAGACTAATGAAGAGATTACAACTGTTCTCAATGTTTCCTTCCCCTAAAAGTTTAAAGATGACTCTTTTAAACAGGGTGACACTCAGATATAATTGTCACAGGGCATAAATATGCTGTGAAAAAGATGGTGTCCTACATAGTCACTTCTACAAGTAATTACAAAGCTAATCTTAAAACTTGAGGAATATGATAACATCAACTAAAGTTACTTAAATCTATAGATGTCAAAATTACTAAGATAGAATATAACACATAATTTAAGCAATTATTTGCCATTATTATTAACATTTAGCAGGAAATTGCCAATATAATGTAGAAATTTTTCATATAAAAGATATATTTGAAATTTTATATACATTTATGCTTAACATTTTAAAGAGTATTTAATTTTAAGAATCAAATATTCAGGAAGGGGAGAGCAGAGAAAGAAAGAAGGAGGGAGGGTGGAGGAAAGGAAAAGGAGAGAGAGGGAAGGAGGGAGGGGTGGGGTCTTGGTGTGTGCCACATCTTTTGGGGGCATGACTTGATTGTAAGAGGGACTTTACCTAATAAATGCAATCAGTGTAACCTGGTTTCTTGTATCCTCAATAAATCCCCAACAGTAAAAAAAAAAAAAAAAAAAAAGAATCAAATATTCAATATCCTTAAAATCAGAAACTATGAAAAGTTTATCGTCACTTAATGTAGCATGGACGAATCATCAACACATAAAAAGGAAATAAAAAAATTTTAAAAGAAGCATTTTACGTATTTGTAGATATCACTATTTGTAGATAACATTTTGTATGCTATTTATATTATTAACAACAGATTAGAACATATAATTAATGAGATATAAGATCTATGTAAAGAAAACTTCAAAAGGGGAAATAATTAGAAAAATAAAGGCACGAAGAAATTGAAATCCACACTTTGAGACACTTTAAATGTGTCATAGAAAGAATGATGGCAAGTCTCTCAAGTCAATTTTTAATTAAAAATTTACCTTATAAAATAGACTTGCTGGAACTCAAAATTATTTAAAAATATAAATATACTTGATAGGCTCAGCGCCAATAGCTCAAGCGGCTAAGGTGCCAGCCACATCCTGGAACTGGTAGGTTTGAATCTAGCCCAGGCCTGCAAACAACAATGACAACTACAATCCAAAAATAGCTGGGCATTGTGGCAGGCACCTGAGTCCCAGCTACTTGGGAGGCTGAGGCAAGAGAATTGCTTAAGCCCAGGAGTTGGAGGTTGCTGTGAGCTGTGATGCCATGTCACTCTACCCAGGGCAACAGCTTGAGTCTCTGTCTCAAAAAAAAAAAAATTATATATATGTGTGTGTGTGTGTGTGTGTGTGTATATATCACTTGATAAATATGGAAAAACGTTCAAGTATTTTTCAGTATTTTTAGGACAGATTAATTTCTCTAAACACTAGGATATGTTATGTAGTCATAACATATAGTATGAAGCAAAAAATTGAGAAATGGACATAAATGATAGATTTAGTGTTTTTGGAAAGAGAAGAAATTACTTTATACTTTTGTGGCATCTCAGATTAATTCAATGATAGTGTATACAGGTACAACTTTGTAAAGCAAATTGCATCTGGGTTATTCCATACTAGCATTAAAAGGCTTAAATAATGAATCAATACAATTTTCTGGTTAAGAAGACAACACAAATGTTTTATTATGTTATTCTTTTCATTTGACAGTTGTAATAGAACCAAAGGTTTCCCATAAATATTGTATATCATGTTGAAGTATCTTTCTGAAAACTGGTATCTCCTTAATGTTCTTTTCCCTACCTTTTGGTTAAATTTGCTATTGTTTTTTCTCAAATTGAAGTACCCATAATTGGAGTAACCAAAGAGTTCTGGATTAGTTTTTGTTTTTTCATCAATAGTTATATCTAATTTTTTTTAATCAAATTAAAGGAAATACTTGAATATGAAGTAAATATGAAATATTTTAAAAGTTATTTCCAAAAGTTTCTAGAATAACATTGACATTGACAAGAAAATAATAAAATTGAAACTTCATATTGTGTGCCATACACAATATGTAAGTAATACATCATTTTATACCTATATTAGCAGAAATAAAAAATTTGTGATGAAAATTTAATTCTGATTAGCAAGTCCATGAGTCAATGCTTTTAGCACTATAATTCCTAGCAACTTTTGAGAGGGTAGTTTGACAGAATATAGCCAATATCATAAGAAGACCCACTTCAAGAACTTTTCTCAAAGCATTTTTTTAAAAAGTTTAAAAACTTTAACCTAAATGTACAATAGGAAATGTAAACAAACCATGGAACGCTATTGGACAATATTAATAATAAATATGAGTATGAAATAGAAACAGAAAATTTTATAAAACTATAGAGAAGGAAGTAAAATAAAAATTGCTTTTAAGATTATATGTTACTGTGTTTTTGGATCCAGAGTAGACAATGATGAAGCTGTTATAAGTGTTACATTTCAGTGATGGTATTGTGGACATAATTTTATACATGTGTTGCTGATAAAAATTTTGTTTTACTAAAAGAAATTCGAAGATGCTAAACTTTCTGCTGTCATCTCTGAAGTGGTTTCCCAAACCCCAGGTTCAGCCACTCACTCTGGAGCCCCACCCCCGGATAAGTCGGTAAGCAACCTATCTTGTTCCAAATAAATACTTGTTTCTGCAACAGCAACAGCATCAAGGAAAGAAAACAGAGCACCTGCTGGCTGGGTGAGATGGCTCACACCTGTGATCCCAGCCCTCTGGGAGGCTGAGGGAGGTGGGCTGCTTGAGCTCAGGAGTTTGAGACCAGCATTAACAAAAGAGAGACCCTGGCTCTACTAAAAATGGAAAAACTAGTTAGGGCATGGTGGTGGGCACCTATAGTCCCAGCTACATGGAAGGCTGTGGCAAGAAGATCGTTTGAGCCCAGGAGTTTGAGGTTGCTGTGAGCTATGATTCCACCATACTCTACTCAGGAGGACAAAGTGAAACTGTCTCAAAAAAAAAAAACAAACAAACAAACAAAAAAAACACCCCCCACACAGAACAAATTAAAATAGACTAAATTATTAGGAAAATTAGGCATCTTTTGTTTCAGAAGAGCTAAGACTGGTAGGGAGAGAGTAGAAAATAACTTTGAAATGATTAAATGAAACAATATATGTGAAAGTATTTTACACTGCTGAGGTGCTCAACATTATTGTAACTTTATTATATAATTGAAAGTACACGTGCATTGTGTCTATATCTTAATTATTAGATTTGAACAATTCTTTAGCTTTCCTGATCAGTGATTTTTCTCTATTTTTTTTCTAATGCATTACCTATTGTTTGATCTCAAGTTTATTTTATGAACTTCTTAAATCTGAGCTTCTCAGAGCCAAGTTTTTTTTATAAACATCTCACAGAACTATTTTCCTCCCATTCACACCAGTAAAAATTTGTCATTTTCATACTAGCAATAGAAAAACTTCAGCATCTATATCATTTTAATTATATACACGTTTTGAGGCAAGGCTGTGGGACCAAAGCTTTTCCAGAGTTCCTTGATTAATTACTTGTGCATTACCAAATTCACAGTATGGAGGAGACCAAAACACATCAAGAGGTAAAGGGTTTGCCTTCAGCCAGATATACCCCTCCTATGGTTGAAAACAGCCTGAAGGAGATGAAGCAGCTTTAGTGAAGTCAGCTATGTTTCCATTATTTTGATGTGGTATCAAAGCTTACTCAGTGCTGTATTCTGAGATTCTGATGAATTTTCATCCTGTTGAGTTGGCCTCAAGATCATCTGAAAATATCCAGAGCCACAGGTGGCAAAGCCCAGACTAGGCTGAGGGTAGCTCCCCCATTAGCTGTTATAATCTTAGGCTCTAGTGAAGCACCTAAAACCAGTAAAATGCTGTGTGTGCGGGTGTGGGTGTGTGTGAGAGAGTGAGAGAGCATACCCACAGTGATGAAAGTGCCTACTCAACGGAAAGGAAGACTCGCTGATACCCCAAGCTGCCTTTCACTCTTCAGGTCTTAACACTCAGCCCAGAGGTTCTTCCTGATTGAGACTATTAGTAAACACTAGCTATCAAAATGCTTTTGCCTTTAACAAGTAGGTTTTAGAAAGACACTTCTCTCAGCATTTTTCCTATCAGGAAGTGTTTCAGTTACTGCTTTATTTGAATTTATCACTAAAACTTAATGTGAAACTCAATTTAGATAACAAACTTTGGGAATCAAAGAGTCAGCTAAGCCACCGAGACTCGTGGAGTTTTCTTTGATGGGGAAGTTAGACTGTCACCATTAGTGTTATGTGCACTGAAGGCCCCTTAAAATACATTTTCCTTTTTCTTTCTTTTTTGAGACAGAGTTTCACTCTGTTGCATGTGCCATCATACCTCATAGAAACCTCAAACTCCTGGATTCAAGCAGTCGTCCTGCATCAGCCTCCTGAGTAGATGGGACTACAGGCACCCGCCAAATGCCTAGCTAGTTTTTCTATTTTTTAGTAGAGACAGGATCTTGTTCTTGCTCAGGCTGGTCTCAAAACCTGAGCTCAGGCTCGGCACCTACAGCTCAACCGGCTAAGGCGCCAGCCACGTACACCTAAGGTGGCGGGTTCGAATCCCCAGCCCGGCCCGCCAAACAACAATGACGGCTGCAAACAAAAAATAGCCGGGCGTTGTGGCGCGCGCCTGTGGTCCCAGCTACTTGGGAGGCGGAGGCAGGAGACTCGCTTGAGCCCAGGAGTTGGAGGTTGCTGTGAGCTGTAATGCCACGACACTTTACCAAGGGGGACAGCTTGAGGCTCTGTCGCAAAAAAACAAAACAAACAAAAAAAAAAACCTGAGCTTAAGCAAGCTATCTGCCTCAGCCTCCCAGAGCACAAGGATTACAGGCAAGAGGCCCCACACCTGGCTTTTTAGACATATTTTCAAATAGCTGTATAATAAAATCACTCCAACAGGGAAACCTGTTTCAGAAGGAAATGGATGATCCTGGATGTGACTGAACATGACAGAGAAAAGCTGTGGGTTCCCTTCACTTTTTTTTTCCTTCACTTTTTAAGAGTATGGCTTTAAGCATTTGACTTAGTGCCTCTAAGCTTACTTTCTACCTCCAGAAAAACCCTGCTTAGTTTACTCGGGGCCATTTGGCATCAAATAAAACTGGGTAGTGTATACAAACAGTCAGAAAATCAACCAGAACGCTCACACACTGCCGGAGAGAGCTCAGCATGGCGTAGTGTGTACAGACACTGAGAAAATCAACCGGAAAGCTCCTCACATTGCAGGAGAGAGCTCAGCATGGCGTCCTGTCCAGTATGGATATTAAACACATTTCACTTGAATTCACATAGAGATTGAAGTTAATGTTTTGAATGCACTGTGCTGAAAAATATTTTGGATAAAACTTTCATGACTTTGCTGTACTAATATTGATGTACAATTTACTATGTGCTAAAAATACAAGTTTTAAGTGCCTTTCAGTCACTTCTCAGCAACTTGAGATACAGGCACTGTTATTCATGATTCATAGCTGAGGAAATTGAGGCTCAGAGAGATTAAATACCTTACCTGAATTATACAGTAAATAACTGTTAGAACAAAGAAGCTATGTAGTTACCCTAATATTGTTCTGGTGGCCATTTTTCCCCCATATAATCCTAGCTCCCACTCACTTCTGCAGTTTACCTTCCATGAGCTTCCTGAGGGTGGAGAGAGAGAGGTTCCCCACCAGTTCAGAAATTCTCTCAAGTCTTCTGAGGGCCCCATGCTCAGTGGCAGGGAAGCCCCTTCTGCTTTCATGCCATTCTCTCTGGGCTTTGTGCTCTGGGAAGTCTTAAGGGGCAGTGCTGGGCTCTGTGGGCCCTACAGTCTGAGCTTTGTCAGGCTGACGTGGCCTTCAGGACCTGGACTCAGAATGCACCCTCAAAACCAAAGGAGCACTCACCCTATATTGCAGAATCCAGCTTCTGGGCTGACTGATGGCATCTGTGCATGTCACTTTCACATCTGTTTCCTGATCATTTAAACATCCTAACGAAAGGCACATGATTGGTCCATTTATTTCTAGACCCTCTAAGTGGCCTCTAGGTCACCTGCTGGGGTGTGACCCCAACACTTCCACTAAGACTCCTTAAGCTGGAGGACCTTCACCAGAGAAGGCAAGGTGGGTGGGAGGTGTTAGACTCCAGCCCTGAGAAGATGACAGGTGTGCAGCCCCTCCCCAGTCTCCCACTCTCAGCCTTCTCCTCTCTGGCACTGTCTGCTTGCCTACTGCCCCCAGATGTCTTTCTCTTCCAAGGAAACAGAACTCACCCTGAAAAGATGGGGTTCCTAGGCTGATCTGCCTCTGATACAGTTTGGCTAACCAGTGACTTATTCATTTATTATTTGCTTTTTAGCAGAGTGACAAAGAAATCGATGATGCCTTGAATAAACTCTCTGACAGTCTAGGACAGAGGCAGCCTGACCCTGATGAGAACAAACCGATGGAGGATAAAGTGAAGGTAGGAAAACATCCATTAATAAGTAAAAATTTAATCCTTGGTTCTTGATTCTATCATTGTTAGAGGAATATTGATGTGAACATTACCTGTGTTTGAAAAATGAAATTATAATGATGTAGAAAAATAAATCTGAATTCTACTGGAGGGGAGGTCCTTGAACCTATGAGAAAGAGACTGGCAGAGCCTCTCGTGGGTGGGGCACTGGGAGGCAGGTGCAGCTCACTCAGTGGCAGGGGTTTGCTTATTGGCAACACAAGTGCCCACTCAGGTAACCTGTTGTCCTCATCCTTGTCCTTCAGGTTTGCTTTCAAATAGGCAAAGTTGTAAACTTAGTCCTCTAAATTCCAAGATTGAATGGTTCTATTTTCTTATTTGAAAAATGAAATTCTTACATTAAAAAAGAAGAAAAAGATTTTTTTTTAACCTGTGGGTTGTATCTTCTAACAGTTCTTTTTTTTTTTTTTTTTATTAAATCATAGCTGTGTACATTAATACTGTCATGGGGTACAGATTGCTGTTTCTGTATACAATTTGAAATATTTTCATCAAACTGGTTAACATAGCCTTCATGTCATTTTCTTAGTTATTATGTTAAGACATTTATATTCTACATTTAGAAAGAGTCACATGTACCCTTATAGGATGAACCATAGACGTGATCCCACCAATCACCCTCCCGCCACTCATCCTCCCCCCTCCCCTCCCCTCCCTTCCCTCTCCCTTTTCCCCATATTCTTGGGCTAAAATTGGGTTATAGCTTTCCTATGAAAGCTATAAATTAGTTTTATAATAGGGCTGAGTACACTGGATACTTTTTCTTCCATTCTTGAGATGCTTGGCTAAGAAGACTATTTTCCAGCTCCATCCATGTAAACATGAAGGAGGTAAAATCTCCATCTTTCTTTAGGGCTGCATAGTATTCCATGGTGTACATATACCACAATTTATTAATCCATTAGTGGGTAGATGGGCACTTGGGCTTCTTCCATGACCTAGCAATTATGAATTGGGCTGCAATAAACATTCTGGTACAGCTATCTTTGTTGTAGTGTGCTTTTTGGTCTTCTGGATATATTCCTAGTAGAGGAATTATAGGATCAAATGGCAGGTCTATTTTTAGTTCTCTAAGTGTTCTCCAGATATCTTTCCAAAAGGAACATATTAGTTTGCAATCCCACCACCAGTGTAGAAGTGTTCCCTTTTCTCCACAACCATGCCCGCATTTGTGGTTTGGGGATTTTGTGATATGGGCTAATCTTACTGGAGTTAGATAGTTAGATATCTCAAAGTAGTTTTGATTTGCATTTCTCTGATGAGTAAGGATGATGAGCATTTTTTCATATATCTGTAGGCCATGTGCCTGTCTTCTTCAGAGAAGTTTCTCTTCAAGTCCCTTGCCCACCCTGAGATGGGATCACTTGTTCTCTTCTTGCTAATTTGTTTGAGTTCTCTGTGGATTCTGGTTATTAAACCTTTGTTGGATACATAACCAGCAAATATCCTCTCCCATTCTGAGGACTGTCTGCTTGCTTTACTCACTGTGTTCGTGGCTGTGCAGAAGTTTTTTAGTTTGATAAAGTTTCAGTAGTGTTATTTTTGATGTTGCTTCAATTGCCCGGGGTTCCTCATAAAATGTTTGCCCAGCCAATTTCTTCATGTTTTCCCTGCACTTTCTTCCAGTATTTTTATAGTTTCATGTCTTAAGTTTAAATCTTTAATCCAGTGAGAGTCTATCTTAGTTAGTGGTGAAAGGTGTGGGTCTAGTTTCAGTCTATGCAGGTCGCTAGCCAGTTTGCTCCGTACCATTTGTTAAATAGGGAATCTTTTCACCACTCAATGTTTTTAATTGGCTTGTCAAAGATCAGGTACCGGTAAGTAGCTGGATTCATCTTTTGGTTCTTTATTCTGTTCCATACATCTACTTCTCTGTTTTTGTGCCAGTACCATGCTGTTTTGATCACTATGGATTTATAGTATAATCTGAGGTCTGGTAGCGTGATTCCTCCTGCTTTGTTTTTATTTCTGAGTAATGTCTTGGCTATTCGAGGGTTTTTCTGATTCCATATAAAACAAAGTATTATTTTTTCAAGATCTTTAAAGTATGACAGTGGAGCTTTAATAGGGATTGCATTAAAATTATATATTGCTTTGGGTAGTATGGACATTTTAACAATGTTAATTCTTCCCAGCCATGATCATGGTATGTTTTTCCATTTGTTAACATTTTCAGCTATTTCTTTTCTTGGAGTTAGAGTTTCATAGTTCTCTTTATAGAGATCTTTCACGTCCTTTGTTAGGTAAACTCCCAAATATTTCATCTTCTTTGGCACTACTGTGAACAGAATAGAGTTCTTGACTATTTTTCAGCTTGACTGTTGTTGGTATATATAAAGGCTACCAATTTGTAATCTGAGACACTGCTGTATTCCTTAATCACTTCTAAGAGTTTTGTAGTAGAATTCCTGGTGTTTTCCAGATAATACAGTCATATCATCTGCAAAGAGTGAAAGTTTAATCTCTTCTGACCCTACATGGATACCCTTGGTCGCCTTTTCTTCCCTAATTGCAATGGCTAAAACTTCCATTACGATGTTAAAGAGCAGTAGAGACAATGGGCGACCTTGCCTGGTTCCAGATCTGAGTGAAAATGATTTCAACTTAACTCCATTCAATATAATATTGGCTGTGGGTTTGCTGTAGATGGCCTCTATTGTGTAAGAAATGTCCCTTCTATACCAATTTTCTTAAGTGTTTGGATCATGAAGGGATGCTGGATATTATCAAAAGCTTTTTCTGCATTAATTCAGAGAATCATATGGTCTTTGTGTTTTAATTTGTTTATGTGATGAATTACGTTTATAGATTTATGTACGTTGAACCAGCCTTGAGATCCTGGGTTAAAACCCACTTGGTCGTGGTGTATAATTTATTTGATGTGTTGCCTTATTCTGTTTGTTGGGATCTTGTTGAATATTTTATCATCAATATTCATTAGTGATATTGGTCTGTAATTTTCTTGTTGGGTCCTTTCCTGGTTTGGGGATTAAGGTGATGTTTGCTTCATAGAATGTGTTGGGTAGTATTCCTTCTTTTTCTATATTTTGGAAAAGGTTAAGTAATATAGGTACTAGTTCCTCTTTAAAGGTTTGGTAGAATTCTGACATGAAGCCATCTGGTCCCAGGCTTTTCTTTTTAGGGAGATTTTGTATAGTTGATGGTATTTCAGAAATTGATATAGGCCTGTTCAACATTTCCACATCATTCTGTCTAAGTCTTGGAACATGGAGTGCTTCCAAGTATTGGTCTGTTACCTTCAGATTTTCATATTTCTGAGAATAAAATTTCTTATAATATTCATTAAGGATTTTTTGAATTTCTGAGGGGTCTGTTGTTATTCTCCTAACAGTTCTTGAGGATAATTATGTAACCAATTATTTCAAGTCCAAATACAAAGAGAACTTTCACAGATGATGAGCTGACACATGAAAGCACATGAATTTACTTTTTTCACCAAATAGTAGTCTGTTGAAGTCATCTGTGTTGTTCTATTTCTTAAAAAACAAAACCAGACCATATATTTTGCCTCACAAATGTATACTAAATGTAGACTACAGAATATAGAATGTATAATATTTTCTAAGTGAAAGAAGAAATGAATGTTGATTAATTTTCTCACTGTTAACAGGAAAAAGCTAAAGCCGAGCACAGAGACAAACTTGGAGAGCGAGATGATACTCTCCCTCCCGATTATAGACACCTCTTGGACGGTGACGGGAAGGTAAACGGGAGCAAAACTCCAGGTCACATGTGCTATGAAGCTTTTGAAATTTAAGCCTCCTTTGAAATAAAGAGAAGTTTCCTTCTTTTACCAGAGTATAAAAACACATAACTGACTGCTATTAAATGTCCCCCCCAGAGCTGATGAGCAGGCTATCTAGAATTCTGTAAGTGTTAATTTGAGCCAATATCATTTGATATTCACATGCTGGGGTCTGTGGTATGAACAGGGATAAATAATGTTCAGTCACTGATGCTTGTACATCAGGAGATGTACACAGATGGATTCTCTTTTCAAGAAATGGCTATAAAAATGACCAAGGCAATGGAATTTGAAAGGAAGAAGGCTCGGTGTAAGGAGAACAGAAAGCAGCTAGTTGGAATAATTAATAGGACAAATAAATAAGGTCCCTCCAAGGCTTGGGGTCTCCCTCTGTTCTGCTTCACCACTAGCACTCCTGAAAGTGAGGGCAGGCAAAGTGTCCTGTTTCTGTCCAAAAGTCCCCAGCTTTTGTCTCCAACTTGGAAGCCAGTTCTTCTTAGGTCAGCCCAGCCTTCCTCCCTCCCCTACTCTGCTTCCTATTCAGCATCAGCCTACTTTCGAGTCAATTTGATGGTAAGTAGCCCTTCCCAGCCCTGTCCATTAAATCAAAATGAAGAAGACCAAGTTACGCCCTTCTCCCTCTGTACTGATTCTGTCGGCGGGACACTGCCAGCCCCTTGTCAGGCATCAGCCCTCCTTACCCCTGCTTCTATACGCCTCAAGGTGGCCAGCCATTCTGCATTCTGCCCGAGTCCTCCCTACTAAGGTAGCACAACCTCATTTGATTGTATTGGTTGGGAAATGTGGTACTTAGTGCCCTGGCTTTTGAGGACGGACAGTCTCTGATGAGTTTCAGAGTACAATGAGCTATGGTAAATAAAGACTAAGACACAACTAAATTCCTAAGGCCAGTCTGTTTCTTAAATTTCCCCCAAGTCTCCTAAGATGGTTTTAAGGGTAGGAATTAAGCACAGCTGGTGGAGAGATAATAGGACCCAGACTCATCAGCTATTGCAGATTTGGACTCTAATATGTCCAAGGCAATCACTGGGCAGTAGATCCTGAATATACTGACTAAGTTTGAGTAAACCTTTACAAAGATTCCTGTAATCAAAAATCTGCCCTGTTTTTAAGGACAAACCTGCGAAGCCACCTACAAATAGATCACAGGAGTCAAAGGTAATTACCATAGTGGTATGTTTCCATGCTTAAAAACTTATTCTAGCTATAGCTTTATTTTGCATTTTAAACAGCTAAAATGTACTAATTGATCAACACTTATGTGCACATGTAGAAACTGTGCTCATAGGAAATCAAGCAGGTGGGGGGAGGAGTGGATGGGTAAGTTCACACCTGATGGTACGTGCACACGATCTGGGTGATGGACATACTTGTAAATTTGACTCATGGTAAAAAGTGATTTATGTAACCAAAACGTCTGCAGCCTTGTAATATTCTGAAATTAAAAAAAAAACCTAAAATGTATTGGATGCCTGCCCTGAGCTTAGTCTTAAAAGGCATGTGCATTAAGTGTGTGCATCTGTTATTTACCTTGAAGTTAGAAATCACAAAAACCCTTTCAGACAGACAGTGCCATTTTCCAGATGAGAAAACTGAGACTCAGAGAACACTAAGCAACTTGTGTTACATAGTAGAAGAAAATAAAGCTGTCAAGATTTCATGGTTTTTAAATTTATTTTTTATTTAAAGACAGAGTTTCACACTGTCCCCCTGGGTAGAGTGCCATAGCATCATAGCTGTCAGCAACCTCAAACTCTTGGGTTCAAGCGATCATCTTGTCTCAGCCTCCTGAGTAGATGGGACTATAGGCACCCACCACACCTGGCTTATTTTTCTATTCTTGGTAGAGACGGGGGTCTTGCTCTGGCTCAGGCTGGTCTTGAACTCCTGAGCTCAGACAATCCACCCACCTTGGCCTCTCAGAGTGCTGGGATTATAGGCATGAGCCACCATGTCTGGGCTAAGATTTCATGTTTTAATATCTCCTTTGCAATACATAGTTAATAGTAAAAAAAGAAAAAAGTCAGCAAGTTCTTTTTCATAAAGAACTTTTCTGTTTAAGTGATGTGGGCAAATGTCCCATAGAGCATTGTGTCTATTTGATGCTTCTTCCCTGATGGTTATTTCTGTTAATATCTCAGAATCCTACAGGTAACCGAGACCCCGTTGATGTCCTCTCAGGAGATTTTGACAGCTGTCCCTCAACTACAGAAACCTCACAGAACACAGCAAAGGTACTATGCTTTTTCATATTGATTTTCTTTGGAATATGTATGTAGGTGGGTACATATATATAATTGTTAAACTATAGAATGAATCAAATGATACCACACAGAAACCTGAAAATTGAGAAAAAGCAAAAACATCTGTATTTCTGTTGCCTCCCAAACACCATAATTTGGTATATTTCCTTGGCCTTGTCCATATGTATGTTTTACATAATTCTATTTGCAGTCTGTTTATAGAACATTGCATATGTCGCTTTATAATTTCCATAACCATCATTTTTTGTTGCTGCACTGTGTGGTCGCGTGACAGTAATGCTGTGTCTGTGGTCATGTAAAGTGAGAGCCGTGGCTGACTGTATCAGGCCCTGTCATGCTCACCTGCACTCTGGAGTTTCCTCCCCTTTTCTGCCTGGCCCCACTGGTTGGCTGTTCCTCATTCCTCAGGGTACAGCTCAGGCATCAGCTCCTTTAGGAAGACTAACTTGCCTTGCTCCTCCCTGCCCAGGCCCAGGTTACAGGCCTCTCTTAGTGTCCTCCCTGCATATGGTTTCCTGTTGGCGTAGTGTGTCACAGCATGCAGCCATGCACTCACACTGCAGTGATGTGTCCTTCACCTGTGTGCTCAGCAGTAGTAAACCATCTGTTTATCAGGTGCTCAAAACATGTTAAAAATTAGTGAAAAACTACTATACAAAGGATACTACATCACTGTTCTACATGGCTGAGTAGTATGCCATGCTAACAGCCTGGGTGGATCTGGAGACCGTTCTTCTGAGTGAAGTGTCACAAGAATGGAAAACCAAACGTTACATGTCCCCAGTTTTAAATTGGAACTAGTTGATCAACACTTATGTGCACATGCAGAAGTAAAACTCAACAGGAGTAAAGTAGGTGGTAGGAGGGAGGAGAAGGGGTTGGATTAATTCACACCTAATGGGTACAATGCACACATTCTAAGGTGAAGGGCACACTTAGAACTTTGACCTGAAAGGTACAAAAGCAAATTATGTAACCAAATCATGTGTACTCTCGTAATATTCTGAAATAAAAATAAATAAATTATAATTTTTTTTAAATGATGGAAAATCAACAAAAGCTAATCAAAGTGGTTACTTACAAGGGAGGGGTGCAACAGAATGGAATGGACAGAAATAGAACAGCATTTTGACTTTGGGATGTAGTTCTCACATAATAACAAGTGAAATGAAATTACAAAGAAAAAAAATCTGTGCAATGCAACAAATGTGGGGGACATTTTACCCATAACACAGATGGGAGGAAAGTGGCCAAGGTCCTTGTGGTTCTGTGCAGAGGAGCTAGTTCCACACACCAGTTTGCTGCTGTTCTCAAGCAGAGCTCCAAGCACTTAGTTGTCTTTCCACACTGGGGCATTTAATTTCCAGACTACCTCAGCATCCTGTTTTTCCCTCCTGGTAACCTCTAAATAATACCTTCCTGTATGAAAATGGGCTTTATTTTTACTTTTATTAAATCATAGCTGTGTACATTAATGCAGTCATGGGGTACAGTGTGCTGGTTTTATATACAATTTGAAATATTTTCACCAAACTGGTTAACATAGCCTTCATGGCATTTTCTTAGTTATTGTGTTAAGACA